ATGTTGATGTTTTGATGTTTTTTTGTTTAGTGTTTGATTCAGGAACAGGCTAAAGTGTTCTGATAGTTTGTTTATGTGTTCTAGGGAGCAGAGGTCTTGTATTAAACGTATATTGTGTTGAATGTTCTGAAACATGTACATATAACATCTTTTTCCTCACAATTCTCTTTGTTTGTGATAGGGCACCGAACTAAGATGCAGGTGTGCCCCATCATATTTCAAGGATGTGATGGACAGAACTACTGTTGTGCTCTCGGACAAACACAAAGAGGCTCTTCAACGGAGCCTTTTTTATTTTTTTTTGTGAATATGCCCGATGTAGCTATTTTGCATAGTAGAGTAGAGGCTCTAGTTAGCACATATAGGGTAGACTTGAATGCTTTTGTTCTTGGTGATAATTTGTCTCTTAATTTCGACCCCGCCAAGTTTTGTATAACTATGGGGCTACGACAGGGGGGTCTAAGCGTAGACTTAGACCTTTCTTTAGAGTCGAAAGCCTTATTCGACGGCTGGGGTCGAGTAGATAAAAAACTGTTGAAAAGAAAGCATGTCGTAGATCTGTTAGAGAAGTTTGTTGTTGATGAAGTCATGTAGACGACTTCATCAGGATGTATAGTTTGCTCATTTTTAGTTGCAATTTGTTTCTTTGTTCGAGTTATTCCATCCCCAGGTTTGTTTACCCTTACCTAGAGGATGTGAGTTGAATTTGTGAGTATGCATGGGGAGATGCTACTCATAAATTCTTACTTGCAGAGCTTGTTCGCCATGGTGAATCTAGAGACCGAGCTTACTTTGATGGATGTGTCGTTGGGCTGATGATATGTATATATGTGTTTCAATGTCTTAATACAATAATATTAAATTGTGAGATTGTGTAATTTTGAAATCGTGTGTATGTGTGTAGGCTTGGTTGTACGAGCGCGTGCCTTCTCTGGGCAAATGTTCCAGGCTCGAGGTGATTCCCCGTCTATTTCGATGGACGGGGAGCACAATGCCGTCTATATTTGAAGGGTCTTTATCCCTTAAAAAATAATGAGGCATAAGGTAATTTATATAATTTTATAGTATTATGTGTTTTCTACTTCTTCTTTTTATTTTTTTAGTTAATCGATATTCCACTTACATCATTATGATTTGCTTTGTAGGTGTATTCGTTATCGCCTGTTTCAAAGGAGCATGCCTTTGTCGAAGCTCAAGTTTTCTTTTAATTTTTGTCGAGAATTTATATTTTAGCATTAGTATATTTTCATAGGTACAAGTATTACTTTAATTTATGTTTTCCTTTAATTTTTTTTTCATGTACAGGGAACCTTTGAGAACAGACTGTATGCCATTGTTTGTCATGAAAACGATGAACTTAAAAAAATAATTCAAGGGTTGGAGTGTCAGTGGAGAGAAAGAAATTACGAAGAAAAAAGAAAGAGAGAAAGAAAGAGAGGAAAAAAGTGAGGAAGAAGAGGCTGATGGTGGTGATGGTGTTGTTTTTGCTGAGCAAAAAGAGGAAAAAGAGGAGGAAAAGGAGGAGGAGGAAAAAAAAGGAGGGGGAAGAAGATGTCGATGAAAAAGAGAAGGAAAAACAATGGGCTCCATGGTGGTTGATCCTCAACCTGGTGTGAATGAGTTTGAAGACTTGGATCGACTGATAAACCTTGTGGTGAAGGATGCTGGTTTGGGGGAGGAATCAGCTTGTTCGAGGGTGGAGGAGAACCCCTATTCAATGGTGAAGAGGGTCCGGGAGAGGGTCGGCAGGAAGAAGAAGGGCAAGGCGTTGGATTTTATGACCCCTCCGTCATCCGGTCCGAAGAGGCGGAAGAAAGAAAAAAAATCGCAGTTGGTGACATTGGTTGATGATGAGGTAATTAAACTAGCAATTTTATTTTTGTAATTTATGTGATTGTTCGTGTTGTTTTCATATAACTAACTAATTAATTTGTAATGTAATGTAGGGGGTGACAAGAGTGACGACGATGAGGATTCTTCTGTGAATCAATACAGGGGCAGAAACAATTTTTGTGGACATGGGGATGTCCCGGAAGAGGATGTTGCAGCCTTTCGGTCGTTCTTGGCAACCGATCAGTTGAGGTAACCGAAATTACGTTAATTATTTTAATTTATATTATATTATACTAATTAAAATTACAAATTTTGGTAGCAAAATAATTGTGTGGAGCAATGAAAAAGTTTTGGTCCGAGGGAAATCGATGTGCACTCTTATGTTCAGGTCCGAGTTGGATTCTCAACTCGTTGATTGCTACATGTCGATCCTGCGTGACTGCCATCCTCATATCCGATTTTTGACGACATATGTTCATGTATTTTATTTTAATATACTCTATTAATATTTTTGATTGTTAATTTGCTGACAAAACTATTGAATTTGTAGACTGATTTGATGAATGCTATCGAAAGAATTACGAGAAAATCTCCTCGGAAGGAGGATTATGAGAAGTGTACTTCTACTTTTAGTAAAAGTATTGTTGTCGTGATTGATGATATGCTCAGGTCCTTGAAGGGTGCGAAGTATGTTTTCCTTCTCGTGGTGTACAAATTCCACTTCTTCTTACTTGTCCTTAAGGTTCAAGAAAGAAAGTTTGTGTGCCATAACTCGATGGATACTCCACAGCACCGAGGGACGGGGAAGAGCTTGGTAAGTGTTAGTATCAGATGAAGTGCTTTGTTTTGTAGTGGTTATTTTATTTCAAATAAACGTATTTTGTTGCTTTTTCCTTTTTTTTTTCAATGTGTAGGCCAAGTGCATGGGAGCTTATATGAATTCGAAAATGGGATATGGCATTCGTCAAGACGATTTTGTACCAGGATACCTCAGGCAGCAGTCCGGTGTCAAGGACTGTGGAGTGCACATATGCTTGGAGATGGAGTGCTACGGCGTCGATTCTCTTGAATTCATGAAGGCCTAAGAGAGTTGTTCGATTGACGGCTATCGAGCACGCATGGCAGCACGCATCCTCAGAGATCCTCCTTCATGTTGACTGTTTTGATGATGTTTGGATTATGCTATGAACAATATGTCTGTGGTTGTGAACAATTTGTCTGTCGATATTTGGCTTGTCTGATGGCTTTGAACAATGATGTTTGGCTTTGAATTTTGTCTGTCTGTTGGCTGTTGAACAATAGTTGCCTTGTCTGTTGGCTTTGAACAATAGTTGTTTGGATGGTGTTTGGCTTTGAATTAAAACTTGTGTGATAGCTTTGAACAATTTGTCTGTTTGGATGATGCTTGGCTTGTCTGTCGATATTTGGCATCCTCAGAAATCCTCCTTCATGTTGATGGATTTTTTGTTGCCCAAGTGTATTTTGTTGTTGCCCAGGTGTATTTTGTATTTTGTCAGTTGTATTTGGTATTTTGTCGGAATATGTCTTTTGATCAATTAGTACCAGTTATTGATGAATTAGTAGCACTTATTATTCTATTCAGTACTAGATATTGATCAATTAGTACCTGCTTTGTAGAAAGAACAAAAAAGGATTACTTCAAATTTGGTCAACATTTTCAACATTAGTAACAGTCATAGAGTAAGATAGTACATGTTTTATGCTGTTCTAGTACCAGTCAATGTGAGAGTGATTATGGGTCGTATAAACATCATTTGCGACCGAAATTCGGTGTTTCTATGTGTTCATCACAAGTGATACTAAAGACTCCATATGTGGTACTAAATCGCCATAAACAGGTACTACCTTACAATATGACTGGTACTACTTTTTTTAAATGTTGACCACAGTTGAAATAATGTAGACATGAAGGATTATAAATATCACGATTCTTACAATAGTACCTGATTTAGATAAAATAGTACCACATTTTTTTATATGTGGTACTTGTTTTTAGTCGATCAATACCTACTGTTGTGAAGGATAATTGATTATTTCAACTGTGGTCAACATTTAAAAAAAGTAGTACCAGTCATATTGTAAGGTAGCACCTATTTATGGCGATTTAGTACCACATATGGAGTCTTTAGTACCACTTGTAGTGAACACATAGAAACACCGAATTTTGGTCGATAATGATGTTTATACGATTCATAATTACTCTCACACTAGTTTATATGAGATATAAAATTTGGTTAATTAAGTGTATTCGCAAATTGGTCATGAACTCAACGTACTAATGGAAAAACAATACTTAATACACTTCTGGTACCAGTTTTTATTGAAATAGTACATGTTATTCTACTATGCAGTACCTGATATTGATCAAATAGTACCTACTTTTGGTCAACCAAGATGGATTATTTCAATTGTGATCAACATTTAAAAAAAGTAGTACCAGACTTAGAGTAAGGTAGTACCACTTTATGGGGATTTAGAACCACATATCAAGTCTTAAGTACCACTTGTAGTGAACACATAGAAACACCGAATATCGGTCGCAAATGATGTTTATACGACCCATAATCACTCTCATATTAGTTTATATGAGATTTAAAATTTGGTTAATTAAGTTTAATCGCAAATTGGTCACGAACTCAACGCACTAATGGAAAAACAATACTTAATACACTTCTGGTACCAGTTTTTATTGAAATAGAACATGTTATTCTTCTACACAGTACCTGATATTGATAAATTAGTACCTACTTTTGGTCAACCAAGATGGAATATTTCAACTGTGGTCAACATTTAAAAAAAGTAGTACCAGTCATATTGTAAGGTAGTACCTGTTTATGGGGATTTAGTACCACATATGAAGTCTTTAGTACAACTTGTAGTGAACACATAGAAACACCGAATTTCGGTCGCAACTGATGTTTATACGACCCATAATCACTCACACATTAGTTTACATGAGATTTAAAATTTGGTTAATTAAGTTTAATCGGAAATTGGTCACGAACTCGATTGAAATAATGCATTTTGGGGATAAGAATTAAATTTGGTCATAAATTCATGCGATTGCCTAGCGGCAGGATGGTTGAGTAGGCGGTGTTACAGGGTGTGAACTTGCCCAAACTCGGGTTTGAGTCCCCCTGTCCGCGAACCTTCCACCATATTTGTTTTTTCTTTTTGGAAGTTATACTAATTAAAAGTAGGTACTAATC